CTGATCAGTTCTAAGTTTTTGATGAACCTCACAATAGTCCTATTTTTCATTGTAGCATCCAAGTTGCACACAAAACCAAAGTCGGGTCTCTGGAGGCTCTAAGATGATGCTCCAGCGCTCTTTGCCTTCTTCAAATGTGAAGTTTGTCCTGGGACTGAGGTACCTGCCATGAATGAAATGTGCAGCACAGAGCAGTCCTTGTTCCTGTAACTCTTTGCATCAGCTCTCTCCCCTCCTCCTTCAAACTCATATTCCTGTCAGGGGCCTCCCATATGTGCTGTGCAATGTGTGCTTTGTCAAGGAGAGAAAAAAAGATGAGATGGACCTTTAGGGGAAGGTGTTAGCTCTCCCTCTCCTTCACTGTCCCCTTTTCTCTTAAAGCTGAGTGTGCACATTTCTCCCTCCTTTGGACTGCGATAGAAAAGCTCTGGAGACGCTTTTAATCGACGAATAAGCTCAACAATTAAGTGAATTGAAGGAATGCAATCCAAGCGGAGCTGCTGCCTTATTCCTGACATTGATTTTCAGCTAAGAGTGGCTTCTGTTGCTTTAGAGATTATGAAAAACCCAAACCTGGCAGTTGAAGAGTCAGAAGAGTGATCACTCTAAACTACTAGATAATCTTATTTACATGTTTTAAGTGTTCATGGTGTATCATTTACTCCCCCGTTATCCAGTGTGTATTCTACCTGCTGCCTGTGCGCTTAAATCGTGACTTTAGAGGATTGTCTGTTGGAGGAGTGGAGGGTTTTCTCTGCCAGCCTGCCTTTTCACTCCAGAAACTCTGCATTCCTCCAGCTCTAATTCGTCCGGGCTCCAAAAAACGTGAGCAGAAGAAGAAGCTCTTACAATTGATTATTCTTTGGTTTGGAGAGCGATCTCCTTTCCCGGCATCCCTCTCGTGTCAAGCAGTTGGCTCTCAGGTTGAAGCTGCTGAGGTCTATTTTTCTGTCAGTCAGGATAATATTAACTGTAACGCTAATATTGGTCCATATATGGAGTGATTCAAGGCTGTACTGTGTAACCCAGCAGTTCTCTGGAAGAGCTGAGACATTTCAGATGATTTCAGGAAGCTCTCGGCTTACTAACTATCTGACTCTCACTTGTTGAGGTTTCAAATTAAGACTTATTCTGGTTTCCAAATTACCGCCAAGTCTTCACTACTTTCACCTTGGTTTTATTAGCAATTCTGTCAGTGTATCCTGTTTTAAGCTGAATCCATGCAGCACAGACAGCAGTCTAAGAACTAGAAAGCTTCCAGATTCTGATAATTGATATTTGTTTGACCTTTGACCTGAGATTTTGGAGGAAGTAAAGCCTACAGGCACCACTCTGTGCAAGTGGTCTGGTCTCTCAAGGGTCAGGCTCCAGTCATCTATAAAAGGAAAGCTGAACAATCAAACTTAAAGCTCCTGTATGAGAATATTTTATGTGCAAATTGTAAAAACTAGGCTTTTTCTTCAGCTCCAGTTTGAGGCCTTAAAAAATTCAACTTTTGTCTGTAACATTGGACGATTCTTCAAAATAATCCCTTAAAATCCACATTGCGGCCTTCATAGTATCAAGATGCTGTTATTTACACTCATAAATATATCAGAATATTCCACTCTAACCTTGCTTTGCACTACAGTTATGTAAATCTGACATAACATTCCTCTCTAAAGCACTAGCCAGCTAGAAAAACTGGTCGACAAATGGAGCGCAGCGCTGCTCCTTAAACCTGGCCAATGGCTGTGGTTGAAGTCCAGTAACGCACTTTGATTCAAGACCCAAGAGAAACTTGGGGAAAAGTGATGTCCTGTCATTTGGATCATTAAACATCTGCATTATCGTAATTTTGGGGGGGTTGGTTTTTGGTTTCAAAAATGTTGTAGAGGTTCCACAGGGGGCAGTATTTGGATTATGTAAGTTGTCATAGTCAGAAAAGAGACAATTTATTGGGAAATTGAAGGATGCATCTTTCCAGCCGCTTCATTTATAACTGTATTTTTCAACTATAAGGTGCACTTAAAATCCTTTCGGCTTGTCGGAGCACTGCAGCTACCGTAGCCTCGCAGGGTTATAAAATGAGTTAAATAAAGTTTGACTTATCTGACTGTTTTGTTTGGTTTAATGCGCTTTATAGTCCGGTGCGCTTTATGTATGAAAATAGATGCGAATAGGCGCGTTCATCGATGGTGCGCCTCATAATCAGGTGCGCCTTCTAGTGCAAAAAATACGGTAAATGCAGACAAAGTACATGAAGATGATTTAGAATTTCAGAAATTAAAAAAACGACTGAATGACTTTTTTTTTGCTGCACAATTTTTACTTTAATTCACACAAAATTACAAATTAGTGTATGGTTAACAATTTCCTAATAACTCACGATATACTGAACCCTCCACGCTTTTATCACGATGAGTGTTGTAACGCCTATCTTTACTTATACAGTATCAACTCAGACCATAGACTGTATATAGAATGGACGCCTTCTTCCCCTCTCGCTGTCTGAAGCCACCCTGAGAACAGCACCCTCTGGTGACTGGTTGCAGTATAGGTCCTATATCCCGCCTTCTCCAGCAATTTCTATGGAGCTGTAGTCAAAATTTAGAAATTAATTACACGGATGATAATTTTTTCTCCCTCCTGGTTGCGATGTTGACATGTAGTTACTGTAAGACTGGTTTGTGCTCAAGTCCTCTTTTTTCTGTGCAGCTCCATTTTTAAAAGTTATTAGGGGGTTCATGTTTTCTATGATTGACACTTGATACAGCCTATGGGCGCGAAGATTGCAAAGCTTACCCAGGAGATACGCTGTTTTAGCAGAGCATCATAACAGCGACTCTCTGCGACTCCCCGGCTGATTGCGTACAGTACAACTGCGCAACTGGTGGAGTGCGTACAACGCTGCTGCACCATGTTGGTTTCAGGAAGTGGAGAAAATATCACAGGAATACCGAGGGCTTTTCGGCTTCAAATCCGTACACTGGCGGAAGGCGGAAGAAGACTCAGACCAATAAAGTTGCTTTATATAATCTAGTTCATGGGGAATTACTGAATTTGTCACCTCTATCATGGTAGGCATAGTAGCACTTGTTTCTTTGTCACATTTAGCATTAACAGGTTTAAAATATCTAGATGGACAGTCATGATCAGCTACAATAACCACCAAGGATTCATAACAAGCTGCCTGACCTGGATTCAGGTTAGGAGTAAGAAACTGCAGACTACAACAAAGTTTTCAAAGTGAAGGAAATGGAAATGTTGCGCCATAGCGGACTCCTCATGACCTTAAACTTATGATCCCAACATTAGTTGCTCAACTCATATTAAGGGATTTCTGACTGACCGAGTTGCTCAACTGGACTTGATTTGCGGTGCATGTGGTCATCAGGACACTGAGGGTGTTTCTCAGCACGTCCTCCCCCGGAAAGTGTGAAACAATAACTGGAAGAGTGGCACTGCCCTCTGCGACTGACCAGGGAGCTGAATCACAACATGAGGCTGGACATTAGTCAGCCCTCATTGCTTCCTCTTTTCTTTCCTGATGAGCCAATGCACCGTTAACAAGCCTCATCAGTAAAGCCCCTATCCTGTTCCTCTCTGCGGTCTCCGTCCCCTGCCAGGCTGCTCCCATGGAAACGGATGAGGGCGGTGAGCAGGTGTGGTGGCGTCATGTGGTGATGTCAGGAGGATGTTGTGGGCGGGTTGCGTGGCACTCCGGGGAGGTGTTTCTCTGTTTGGAGTGTTTGATTCTGGTTTGTGCCAAATTCAAGGATGATTCTAGAAATGATTGGGTCATGGGGAAAGTTGGCAGGTCGGTTATTTTGAGGGAATCCCCCTTTTATTTTTAATGGTTACCAGATTTGACTGTATGGGGATTTGATGGTGTTTCTTATGAACTGAAAGGAAAACAAAAGTTTAAGATGGAAAAAAGTATCTTAATACCGTCAGTGAGCCCCTTGAATCAGAAATTCTCCTGGGAAAATCCAATGTGTAAATTTATTATTTGACTTTTCCTCTCTGACTCTCTCCGGGAACTTTTAAAAGTTTCATTTTCACTATTTACAACTTTACAAAGTTTGGGACAATGCTGACATAAAATGCATGTAACTTTTAGACCCTAATTTTTGATAAAGCCAATCCAGCAGAGTTGTTTGATGGAAAAATAAGTTCTTATTATTTCCTTTGTCATTAATATGCAATGTAATTCACATCTAAATATCAGTGCATTATTTGTTTTCAGTCATTTCAGTGGTTTGCTATTGTGTCTCTTGTGGCCCATCTTGGTAAAGCCCTCACAGTTTCTTCCTGCTGCAACTAAGACAGAAGATACAGACACATTTCACTTAAAAAACTCCAAAATAAATTGAATATGAGAAGAAATATGCAGTTTGTGTGAAACAGACTAAAAATATTGTGTAAGTACTGCGAGTTTGAGCTTCTTTCATCAAACTAAGCATACAGGAGGAGCTCGTCAGACGGAGTCAGTGGGTGATCACATCCCAAAAGCTGGCAAAGCACTATATATGTAATGTGGGGATCACATATGATGTTGGATAAACATCAGTACATCAATAAATAATCAATTTGATCCAGCAATGACTTAACTTTTTAATGGCACTTTTGCGTATGCACACTTTAATATTCATCATCCTTGCTTGTACCTTAACGTGAGGGTTTCAGACCACACTGGCGTAGTTGTGCAACATTTATTTGAATAATAAGTCTATAAGTCAAGATCATAAAGAGCATTTTTTTTACATTTGTTTGATTCCCAAATCAAGAGACTTTTCAGTATAAATCAGGCATTTCCATTCCCTATCCTAAAGTAGACTATCCAAGTTTTGGGTTTTATTGAAAATACAAGAAACTACAACATAAATATTAAGAATAAAGAGTCGATCTAGTTGTTCTTTCTCCAAAGTTGAACATCTAATGACTTAAAGCATCCTGTCCTATAAAACAGTCCTCTCTGATCTCTTAAACTTCCCTGTTCTCTTCGTCTGTAAAGGTCACGGCAGTTTGGTGACTTCATCAGTATCCTGACTTTCTCTGGGAACTGTCTCATAAACAGCTGGAGTCACAGCAGGAGGTACACACACACACAAACACACAATGCACAGTGTGTGAGTAAGTGTGACTTCATATGCCATCACAAACTAAAGGTTTACTGCCCTGTTACACATTCACCAACCTACGCTCGCACTTAATCGCCTCACACAAGGTCAGGTTTATTCATTCGGGAACTGGCCACGCGTGACTGCTGGTGTAAATGTTGTTGGTGTTTTCACGCTGAGACACCCAGGGGTGCACAGCAGGGAGATCTACATCTGATGATGGACTTCGTGTGCGCTGCATGCAAAGCTAAGGCTGACTCACGAAACAAAAGAATAGTAAAACAATGTGACATTTCCGTGACTTCATAAGCACGTCATTAAAGTCATTATCTACTCGAAAAGCTGCTGGGCGCCCGGTTAACAACTTTTACTGTTCCATGCCACAGGGTAGGATTTGTGCGGCTATTTGAGGAAAACCTCGGGAGGATGTGATCTGAGACTTTTCGTTCTTGTCAAAACAGAGAGTGGAAATCTCTGTTTGCGGTGACCTCTATCGAGTCTCGTAAAAGTGGTTTTTTTCCACGACCCAGAAACAGCCAACACCATTGTTTGGCGCTAATGCAGGAAGTACAACGGAAATTAAGAATGAGTCAACAATAGTCAATATCGAGGGCGTCCCGCTTGAAGGAAAAGTTTCTCTACATCCACTCCAAATTCTATTTATAGTTAACAGTTGTATTTGCAATTTTTCTGATTTCAGGATCTGATATTAAAAAATCCCTTCAAACTGCATAACCACGGCCTATTTTCTTTCTTTCATCCCTTTTGCCATGTTGGAGTTTTGTGGACAAACCAAGCAGTATCCTACAACATCAAATGGTGAAACCAATGATCAAAAGACTGCAGTTCTTGGAGTGTCCACTAGAGGCTGGCTCCCAAAGCCAGTTAGACTCCATTCACACCAGTGTCATTCAAGTCAATTCATTGTAGATGTTTTTCAGGGGGTCTAGATCCCCGTTTTGTGCCCAGATCGATCCAAAGTTAGTTTGAGCTCACGTTTCCAATACAGCTGCCACTTGGACTACATTATCCCTCAGTGGAAACCAGTGGGTGGCGTAACTGAGACTGCACGTATGGTTCAGTCTATGGGAAATGTTTGTAAGACACTTTATACATCAAAAAATAAAAAAGTTTAAGCCACGTGTGTAACCTCTTTTTTACCCATGTGTTTTTCAGTTGTGATTTTTGGCGACTGTTGCTCCAACGATGAAAATGTTATCACCAGGCGACGTAAAAACAGCAGTAAAGTCTGTTCGGGGTGCTGGTTTAGAGCCAGCTTTGGACCAGAGTGACTCAGAAGAGAGATATATGATCGTGATGGATGGGTGGAGAACTTGTTAAATCCTTGTTTTTCGTTTCGTTTGATGGAGGTCGTTGCGTAACAGAGGAAAATAAATGCTTTGCCTGAATTCACCTTAATGTACTGAATGAAAACCATGCCTGTTAAAGTGTATAAAAATGGGGAGTTTTTGTGAAACAATTCAAAATAACCAACCGCTGTGACTAATGGAGCTAACATGATTTACTTTTCCGACTGTGGATGTACATTTGATATGTTTCCTCGAAAACTCGCCTGACACTACGACCCAGGGAAGATGTTATTTGGGGTTAGATGGAAGTTACAGATTTATGAAGCCAAATGTTCGTGTAGACATTCAGAGTCTACGTGGGCAGCGGTGGTGACGGCTTACTTTTTGACCTGGCATCCTTGGTGAAAGACTTTACAACGGTAAATACTGTTGCACGCCATTGGGGACATGGCTGCCGCTTATGTAAGGGGCTGTTTTGAGGAAGCGGCTCCTGTTTGGCCCCGATGGCTTGAGGACAGCAGATTCCCCAGCTGATAAAGAAAAGTGCTTGGAAAGGCAGCGCAGGAAAATACCTTTAAATATATTATGTAATTGAATATCAGGGTTACATACTGTGCAGCGTCGAAGCGACAGCGGTAATTCCAAAGACTTGGGCCGTCACGTACAGACAGTGACAGGTGGGAAGAGCTTTAAATCACGCTGAAGTATGCAAAGACTCAAGCGGGCATGAGGTGGTTGGTCTTCTGACACGTGAAGCTCCTGCATCTTTTTCCTCAAGTGTTCGATGGCCTCGCTGCGAGCTTCACATTCCTCCCCTCCTCTCTGCTCTCAAAGTGGCCAATGCCTCAGGCCCTAAGCCACAACCATGGTTACATAACCGGCGCTAAAGCTGTATATCTCAGCAACATATTTACCTGAAATGGCTTGACCCCTGCGCTCTTGCCTGCATGGGCAGCGACAGCCGCGTCTGACTTCTGGTTATTCTTGAATCAGCCTCCCCCAGCAAAAACGCACCACCTACTGTTGGCTAAAGCTGTTCTCCTGATGCAGTTTTTCTTGTTTTATTGATAAAAAAAATAAGAAGGTACCCCCACACTGCGCAAAGGGATGTTTATTCAGCTTTTAGTCGAGACTCTAGTCTGCTGAGGCCTTAAGGTAACACTGGTTCAGTTAATCAGGGGCCAGCGACTCCCCTTGACAGTTCCACTCAGTTTGGGTTTATTACCTTCACACATACCAGAAGGAGGGAGGTGGGCTCTGGTATTCTGCTGGGTCCTATAACACTGAATGCAGAATGGATTTCCGCCTCATTGTTCCAGCTCATTGTCATGTAGCCATGCACAAAGCAGGCTTGGACTCGTAGGTTTTGCTTTATATAAGAAGTGGACATCTAAGGTCACCATCTTGAGGATTTTTGTTGAGATGATAAGGCTTCAAGTCTTGCTCTGTGGCTGCTTACCAACTTGTTTTTAACCAGAACTGACTGTGATTGAATAAGAGGTTAAAGACAGAGAGAGCGGCTTATTAGTTGGTGATTAACGGAGATTCTTCTTCTTGGGTTGGCTGAACTAATTGGACCATTTATTGAACCAAATAAGCAAGAACAGCAAGATAAATGTAAAACAGTCAACACAATTACTCTCTATTGTGCATAATGCCTTTTAAATACGTTTATTAGAAACTCACGTGTTTTCTAATTACTTTTTATTGACATGATTTGTATATATATATGTATTTGTGTATGTATTGTTATCACTGTTATTATCATCACAACGTAGTTATATGACATGGTAAGAAGGGGGCCGATAAGCATTTGCTTCTTCCTGTCCCTTCTTGAACAATTATGGTTGTGTTTTATTATTGTTGCTGATGTATTGGTGTTTTTTTTGTTGTTTAAGACAAATAAAATAGAAAAAAACACTTCATCTTGATCTGAGGTAGGCCAGTTTAGCAGCAGGACTCTTCTACTACAGAGCCAAGACTTTGAGTCCATACAGGGATTACAGAGTCATGCCTGGGACCTGATCGTCACGGCCGTACAATATCAATCATCTGCTTTGGTCTATTTGTACAGTTTCTTCCAGATCTTCCAATAATTTTTTATTAAATCCTCCAATTCGTAGCAAATTCACACACAGCAACTTTATTCTAAAAATGTTGAGCTATTTGCTCTCGCAGTCTCTCACTGAAAGGAAAATCTCTTCCTATCTTTACTTCTAAGAGACTCAGCCTCTCTGTACTGTTCTTTTAATAACCTGTCATGGTATTACAATGGATACTGTTCTTATTTATATACAAAAACATAGAAATATACAGTACAGGCCAAAAGTTTGGACACACCTTCTCATTCAATGTCTTTATTTTTTTTTTATATGACTATTTACATTGTAGATTATTACTGAAGGCATTAAAACTATGAATGAACACATGTAGAATTTTGTACTTATAAAAAAAGTGTGAAATAACCGAAAACATGTTTTATATTCTAGTTTCTTTAAAATAGCCACCCTTTGCTCTTGATGACAGAAGTACCTTGTCAGGGTTACTTCAGGCACTCCTGTGAAGTAAAAACCATTTCAGGTGACTACCTCATGAAGCTCATTGAGAGAACAGCTAAAGTTTGCAGCGCTATCAAAAAAGCAAAGGGTGGCTACTTTGAGAAATCTAAAATATAAAACATGTTTTCAGTTATTTCACACTTTTTTCTTAAGCACATGATTCCACATGTGTTCATTCATAGTTTTGAGAATCTACAATTTAAATAGTAATGAAAACAAAGAAAATGCATTGAATGAGAAGGTGTGTCCAAACTTTTGGCCTGTACTGTATATAATAGACACCAGCAACTAATAAAAAAACTGCAGTTTTTGCCACGTCCTTGCTCCAAAAATGGTATATTTGCAATAAGCTGACTTTTATTATCGGTTAATTTTTAAGGTCAACTCTGCCGAGGTGTTGCAAAAGTAGTGATAAAGTATACCCATAACTTTCTCTTACAAAATAGATTTACTGTGTTGTTATTATAGAGGGATTTTGTGCCATAGTAGATGGCAGAGCTCTCTCGTCTGTCTGATGCTCGAGCTAATGTGTAGTATTTGGAAAAAGGAGCTGAAATGTGTCCCCGGTGGACCCTGAGTTTGCAGAGGGTATAAACTCTCAGGTAGGAAAAACACTGAGGATATGTCGTTAAAAACGTCGAGGGAGCGCAACACTTCAGAGAGCGGCGTAAGCTCAGCCGGTAACTCACTCAAATCCTGTCTCTGAACGTCTGCCTCTGGTACCATCACTGATCCTCCTCAGACGCCGGCCCACACGATAGCCGTCAAAACACAGCGAGAAGGCATGCTTAGATAATTACTGTGTAAATCATGCCAATCAATTACGCCAGCGAGGGAGGTAAGGAAAACAGTCTGATGAGGCCCTCAGTGGAAAACAAGTCTAGTGGCACACTCACACCTATGAGTTTCACACTGGTGCACAAAAACACTCAAATAAGGGCTCATCTGTGCAGACACATGCACGACTCACGTGCAGAAATGAGACACCATCACTCATCCTCCGCTTAGGGTGTCAGAAAAAGTGTACAAATGAGTAAAAATGTCTTATTTTATGGTTTTATGAATGGGGTCGCCCTTTCAGCCGTGAGGTTAAGAGTCTGGGGCGGTTCACACTCAGTGTTGTAATTCTACGAGTTTGTCAGAAAGCATGTGTGATGTTTATGTGTGTTTTCCTGCAGCTTGAAAGCACAGGAGTGACATCAGCTCTCGCATATTTCAGGAGTTGATGTTTCTTCGTCGTATTTCTACTGTCCCGAGACGCCCGGCATGAGAACGTTCCTTGAGTGTGTGCAAACAGAGTTATGTAATTGTACCACTGCGATGATAAATGCGAAGAGGCTGGGATGGGAACCTCGCAGCCGTCTACGTCAGCGCAAACGAGCGCCTGGCCGCTCTTTCTAAATCATTTTGTGTTTCTAACAGAGATAAGGAGGGGGATGACGGAGCCGAGTGCGTGAGCCAAAGAGGACAAGGGGTGTAAACCACTGAATGAGATCGAACAAGAACAAGCGCGTCCAAGAAATGACGTCTGCTGGCCCAGGCCAATACAAGCGCAGAGGACACCAGTGACAAAGCCGTCAGCTCAGAGGATTTTCCACCTTTCACTTTTCCTAGACTAATTTTGCTCCAGAGAGCTTTGTGGTGTACCGTCCTTGTCTGTACATTCTGCAGACAGCACACAATCTGAGGGATGCGCACAGATACTTGGCCGGCGGTCTGGTTGTTATACACACTCAGCACATCTCCCTGACTGTCCAAGCCACACATTTAATCTCTGCAGAAGGATGTCTGTCCAACGTAGAGAATGAGGGTCTGAAATATTCCTCCGCCGTGATGCAGATGATGACATTCTTGCCCGTAAAACTATCAACGATTTATGAAGTTTCAGTCAAAAGAGAGAAATGTGGATTTCATAAACAGGAGGCATCTGATTCTGTAGGATCTGCATGAGATGTCGATACTCTGGAGATATGTCGCACCTTGGTTGAGGTTTTAGGCATCCCTGATTGATCAATGACTTAATGAAATGTGCATTAAATGAATAGGCTACTGGAATTTTAAAAAATAGTCATGTAAATAAGTGCAGACATAGTTTCTTTAAAGGTTATCTTTGCAGAGAGTTGGGGTTATTCATTTGAAAGTGAAGGTTTTTACATGTTTACAAAAGCCTGACTGATATTTTAGTGCAAATTTCACAGGCTTATCTGGCTTTACAGCATGTAAACTGAATGATGAGCATGCAGAAAGAATAGTTTCAGATGTCTTTTATCAGGTTAACTGTTATGAGGTGGTTGCATGAGTTTGTAAATGTTTTGCAGGACCTTGCATCATAAACTGGGGGAGAATATCAGTAAATATGGCACATATCATCGTTTTTGGCTCTCTGTGCATGTTTTGTGGGGGTATAGGGTGACCATATTCTGAATCCCGAAAAAGAGGACACACCTATGCGAGGGCGGAGTCACGGAGTCGCACAGAGTTAATTTTGAGAGTTTTTCGGGCTGGATTGAGTGTCTTTTACACGCTTCTAACTCAGTAAGTCCATGAGACACAAACTTGAAACTTCCATACAAAACCTCTGACATTTGAAGGACAAAGCCGGACAATGCTGGACAGCCCCCAAGAAAGAGGACATGTCCAGGTAAAAGAAGACGTATGGTCATCCTATGCTCAAACTGGAAAAAAAAAGGGCTAAGAAGGATTTTGAAGATGCCACCTTGTGGGCAGGGGGTAGTGTCACCATGACAACAAACTTTTGAAATGAAAGCTCTAACTGTGGGTTCAGCACAAGTAATCCTACAGGAGACTCCAGCAGACAAATTTCTACTCTGGCACAGAACATGGAGGTTTTCTTTTGGTCAATGACTCGATGTTGTCGACCGTAGTGGACATGTTTATCCACAGGCATTGCTTTTCTCTCTCACTCAATGGAAGCATGAATGACTACCTGAGTATAGACAGACCGACATGCCTCCTGTGCTGATACTGCAGTCTAATGGAGATGCAGGTAACAAAAAGCTGCTTTCTCAGTCCTATCAAGGCCACTTGAACCATTTGACCCAACCTAAACTACAGATTATCCAAGAATCCAAATACTCTAATATATTTTCAGTTCATCAAATGATGAATTTTACACTCAGCAATGAATAGCTGCAGCCTTGGTTCATTCAGTGTCACATTTTTTTGTCCTTTCCCTATTATAAAACAGAGTACAATCAGCTGCTTCATCAATCAGAACAGCTCTTGACTTTGCATCGTCTTTCCTCTCAGACTCGGTCCAAGTGAAATTTCCCTGCCACACGCGACCGGAGTCGGCAGCAGTTATTGTTGAGGGCGGTCTCGCAATCCTGGAAGTGAACGGCTGCAGCGAGGCCCCCGACACCCAGCCCAAGAATGCAAGGTGCAAGAGCAGCAATTTCCCCTTTTCGCCGGCTGTCTTAACACGCCACACACAGAGGCCATCATTACCGATCGAGCACACTCCCACTGAGAGGAGGCCTGCGTCCAACTAGAGCGTGAAAGGAGAGGTGCAATGAAAGGAAGAGCACGCTAAAAGAAATCCAGTATCTAGATGAAATATCTGCTAAAAAAAGGACTGACTGTGCACTCTGTGTGGCCTTGGGTTTGATGCCTCTGACCTGGAGAGAACATGGACCCAGTTACAAGCAGTTCAAGTTTGCTGAAGTATGTATCCAACTGTAATTCATAATTCCATATTGTTGTGTTTGTCCAGGTGCGTAGCAGCAGTCTGCAGGTCTTTAGGGGGCCTATTGGCAGGGTTTATGGGGGGAGTCCTGTTTCTAAGATAACACCAAAACACAATTAACCCCCCGTGACACACGAGACGCACTTCCTGAGCCTCAGCTAGCCTCTCCTGCCAGCCATCACTTGTAGCGCTTCTATTGTAGAGGTGTGTTTACTTTGGCCCGTGCTCACCTTTTCACCATTACAAACCCCTCCCCCCCGATGAAAACACACATACACAACACTTGACTTTTTTCTACCAGAAATCCAACCTTCATTGCAAATTACCTTTGTCACTAAAAAAAAAAAACTCCCCCTCCTCCATATGTTATTTTGCTGAGTTTCACCGGCAATTTTTTGGTGCGTGCATACCCCCCACACACATTCCTGGCAAAGTGCTGTAAAATAAACGGTGGGCCACTAAATTTCAACGGGCTGAGATGAAGCAGGCAAGAGAGAAAACAAGCATACACCAGCGGGGAAAATGGGCAACGGGGGTCTGCTGTTTGTTGTTACAGATGGCTACGCTGTTAGCTGGCATGAGCTGGTTTTCATTGTTGGAGAACATGGCGAAGAAGAGGAGAATCAAATGTGAAAGGTGTAAGAGAGGGGGATGTGATGAAGACCCTGGGGGGGGAGTTTGAATTAACAATGGGGGGGCTGATGTAATACAGTTAAGGCCACTGAAATGGTAGTAAATCAGAAAAAGTGGGATTTCACTGCTGATTGCTGACCCCTGTCTTCTCCAACTACGATGAGCCAGTTACAAATCAAACAAACAACCCAGTTATCAGGGTTTACATGAGTATGAACGGACCACATTTGATCTATATAGGCCCCAAAGGGAGTCATCAAGAGTCCCAACCCATAAAACCCAACTGATGTACTGCGTTTCAGCCCAGCATGGTTGAGCTGGCTCAGGTGTACCATGAAACAAAGCCAGCTCCACCAAGGGACGCCAACATTTTCTAGCCATAACATCTGGATTGTGCCTAAATGAACCGGTCTTTATCCATACACTATGGGTCGTACTTGGAGCCCATTAAAAGGCCCTACATAAGTCCATTTGGGCTACCTTGCAGTTGGTCAGTGTCCAACTGCCTGTTTACAAGCAGTTCTGTCACATCAACGGTAAGGTGATCAGATCTCCCCGATTTCTGGGGACAGTCCTCGTTTTGGCTGACTTGTCCCCAGCTAAGGGGAATGTCCCTGACTTAAACTTTCATGAGAGAAAAAAAATGTTGCGTGTAGAGTAGAACAACTGTTATTACGGTAGCCGAGTAGGTAGGTAGGAGGCGCAAGTAAGCGTGTTGTGCGCAGTCCTGAACAACAGTTTTTATAGGAGTTATTATGGGGGGCATGTGCTGCTACTAAGTAGTACCAAGTCCCCCAACCCCCTACCCCCCACCCCAGATGTCCCCGAATTTCATTACAGAAATCTGGTCACCTTAAGCAACAGTCCTCCTCATAATAAATGTGAAATTCATGACAGGGAATCAGGGGCGCTAGTTTGTCAAAGTGGTTGGGACATGCACCTCATGTATCGAGGCTAAAGTCCTCATTAGAGTAGCCAATACAAAGACGCTCTGGAGGACCATCACTATTCATTATCCCATTTCTACGCATTCACACACCACCAGCTATGTCTTCTCTGGCATGTTAACCGAGAGATGACCAGCTGAGCAACAGCCGCCACATCATCGATTTAGGAATAGAGTTCAATCACACCGAGACCCAAGCTGTTTCTGAGCCACGGCTCCAATGCAGAGGAGGTCATACCACCATCATTTCTTTTGGCTTTGTCTCCACATGAAGCGGTTTGGATAATCTGAATAAACTGTTGACTTGTCTGGATGCCTGACCATTTATTTATTCGCCACTGTGGGAGTTTGTTGAAGTCTCGTGGCTGTTCCCAGATCTCAGCAGAACTTATCAAAACCATGTGAAAAACAAGACCGAGTTCTAACAATTCGATTAAGACGGTTGTCTTTGTTTTTCCCAAAAAATGAGCAAAATAAGGATTCAGAGCCCATATTGGAGAGATTAAAAACCAAGACATAAGAGGCTGAAAAAGGATAGAGTAGCTGTAACTGCTTTTTGACGACTGCGGCAAACATCAGTGCTTTTTCGTGAAAACAGGGCGCTACACGTTTACAGTGAAGAAAGTGAGGATCCACACCATCCTTGGACCATTATTAGATGTGGTTGAACCTCGTCTTTTTCTCAGGACTACACTTTAAACACTGTATTCTGCAGACCTACTGACACACAAAACCCTCCATTTGTGGTTAGGTCTGCTGTACGATCTGTAATCAAAGATTTGTGCTGCGGAAGTCATAAATACGCACAAACACATGTGCACATTCGTGTACATGTGTTTTAATCCGGCGTGTGTGCATGAGTGGATGCTGTATCTGTATTTATGCAAGTGTTTTGCAAGAGGGGAGGTAACAGGCGAACAGCTGGCCACAGCTTCACACCCTGCGCTGATCCAAACTCCGAGGATGCATCTGAGCAGAAACAGCTGGAGTTGTCACCGCTCCGAAACGCCACTTTCAGCACACAGCCACCTGGAGGGAGGCGAGAAGTGAGTGGGAGAGGAGAGGGAGCGAGCCAAGTCCACCGAGTCCAATTGAATTAATGTCAAAAGCATTTTTTAAGGTAGAAAAACACTTGGCGAGGAAGCGAATAGAGAAACAAAACAACACCAAAATTCAATAAAAAACAAGAGGAAAACAAGGAGAGAGGGAGAAGTCATGTGCGTGAAAAAAGACGAAATCAAACATGAAAGAGAGGTAAAAAGCGGATAACTCGGAAAACCGCACGTGCCAAAGCAACATCTGCAGGTCACGAGCAAAAGATGTAAACCAGGTAACCCGAAAATGTGAGAAAATGGGTGCAGATCTGAAAAATAGACTCATTTAAAGAAATGAGCTGTAATCCTCTGGAGGAGGAATACGGAGAGGCTTCCAGGCTTGAAGTTCAGGTTCCTCTCCTCTCAGCTCTGTGGTTGCAATTTCCCCTTCTTTACTGTAACTCTACCCCAGGCAGCTCGTATGAAAACACTCTATCTCTGGGCCCGGAATGCACGTTGACGTCAAAAGGCTTTTCCCATGAGGCCTCGGGGACCCTTCTCGACAGAGCCTGCACACGTCAACAGAGGAAGGAGCGCCCAATCTCTCCTCCGCTGCCGGCCAAATTGGTCTAATGCTCCGGAGGTCCCTGAATGTGCTGAGCTGCGGTGGGATGAGGATCTAATGGCAGCTGACTGCTATTCCCAAATCAACACGGTCGTTTTTTTTTACTGTTTGCAGAGTGACACTGAAGAGATCTGCAGCAGCTCTGAACAAACAGACTTATGATCGTTTCTCAATTAGGTGGCCAGCACCCTTACCCCTGTGGTTTTCCAGATTTTAGACACTGGATTAGGTCCCTCTTTAGGTTTTGAGAAACCCAATTTCGCCACCTGGAGTAGTCTGAGAAACATAGCACTCTGTGGTATGTACACAAAACAAACATAGCGTGGAAATATGGTATGTTTGTGATTTGGATCTTAGGTTACAATCAAAGGATGTTAAAGGGTTTGCATGCACAGATTTCACTTTTTCATCCAAGAGACTCCTTTTATTTTTTTTTTAGCTAGCTTTGAAGTGAGTAGATTCGGTGCTTTGAGAAGTCGCAGTCGGCTATTTCATCTCCGAGCACCAAGAGGTGAAACAAACTGTCAGGCTGTTGGAGATTCACTGCAGACAACCAGACGAGAAACAGGCCGGGACATCTGAGGACTGAGATGAAACACCCCAGGTTCAAGTCCAGCGTTGTTTTAACCCCCTGATCCTCAATCTTCTGCTCGGCAGCCGAAGTCTATAAAGGTCGCACACTAACACCTGTTGAAAACCCTGCAAAAAAAACAACAGCATCAGCAAAACAACAACAACCATGGCCCGACAGACCCGGCCCTCTCATCTCCTTGAAAAGCGCGTCGGCGGAGGACAGCCTCCGCTCTGTAATCATGCCTCCCCCGTCCGAACAGACAGCTGTGGAACCAGGTGAGTCTCGGAGCTTTTCATCCTAATGACAACCCCTGGCTGACTGCTGTCAACGGGGCTAAAGGAGCTTAAGGCCAACTGCAGGGAGGATTAGGAGCAAGACTGGGAACAGCGAGAGGTTTTTCCATGCAGCTCTCGGCGTGGTTACGTAACGAAATCTGGGATAATTCGCTGCTGCTCTTGGACGTGGCCGGTTTCGTCAATCGAACACGGTGAGAGGCGATACAATCAGCGGCGTTGAGGTGTTTTTTTCGCCAGTTTGAGCTACAGATGGACACCCAACCAGGTGCACGTAATGAAAACACAACATTAAGGTGACTGACATTGAAAAACACACACACTTGAACGTCAATATACGAGTTAAATCCAGCCACATGTCCCCCTGATCAGCACTTGACACGTCCACACGGTTACATATGGATCCCTCTTGGAGAGAAAGCTAATAAACATGTGTGCAAGTATGTGTGGGTGCAGAAATATCCACCGAGCACTGACGGAGCTTACAGGTGGAGCTCGCCACGGGAAGCCAATAAAAGTCAGGAATCCTGTCAAGAAGGTCGAATGTTCCACGCTAGATTTTTAGAAGAGTATCACTCAAAGCAGACAAACGTTCAATGAATCTCACCAGAATAATTATTTGAAATCACATCCTTGAAGGTGTTATGCAAGAGCGGTGAAGTGTGGATTTGTTCTGCTGAGTGGCCCTTTTCAGTAGTTTTCAGTTCGCCGTCGCTGGTTAGAAATGAGAGGAGT